CTGGAGAGGTGGGGGTGTCAGGGTGGTTTTGGGGTCTGGGGGGTGTCAGGGTGGTTTTGGGGTCTGGAGGTGTCTGGGTGGTTTTGGGGTCTGGGGGTTGTGGGGGGGTGTCTGGGTGGTCTGTGGGCGCAGGTGGGATTTTGAGGGGGGTCTTTTCCTGCCCTGAGACCTCCTCCTGTCCCCCCACCCCCTAAGTGGCACAAGGTGCCACCATGGAGAACGGGACCGAGCTGACCCAGCGCTGCTGAAGGTCCTCAATGACATCCAGGTGGGATTTTGGGGGTTTTGGGGTTTTTGGGGGGGTTTAGGTTTTGGGGAATTTGGGGTTTTGGGGTGGGAATTTGGGGTTTTGGGGGTCCTGGGATTTGGGGGATGCCCGGGGGTGGGGAGGGCACAGGGAAATGGGGGGTGGGAATTGGGGTCCACAGACATTGGGGGTGGAGGGGACACTGGGGCAGTTAAGGAGGGTCCAGGGGTGTCACCACCCCTGTGACCCCCTCCCCTCCTCCTCCCCACAGTACGGCCGCATCTCCAGCCCGTGGGCTCAGCCGTGTGACCTCCCCAACAACGGGGTCGAGCCTCCAGCAGCACCAGACACTCCGGGGGCTCTGCCCCTCCCCACAGACCCCTGTGGAGGAGGGAGAACCCCCCAAACACACCAAAAAGGAGGGGGCAAACCCTCTTCCTGAGCCCCCTCCCCCAACACCAAATACCCTGAGGGGGGCAAATTCCCTCCCCCCAAACACTCCACACCCCGGGGGTCCCAGCGCCCCCCAAAGCACTCCAGACCCCTGGTCTCCCCCAGCTCAGACCCCTCTCCCCCTGTGCAATACTCTGAGCTGCCCTCTCCCAATTTGGGGGCTCCCGGGTGCCCCCCCACCCCCACAGTGCCTTTGGAGCCCCCTCGAGCCTCCCACCCCCCACCCCAAAAGCGCTTTCAAAGCCTTATGTGGGGCCCCTCCCCAAAAACTGGGGACCCCCAAACACCACCAAAGGTCAAAGGTCAAGTGAGGTCAATGGGGGTCGTTAATAAACGACTTGCAATGAGCCCTGGGCTCTGGGTCAGTGAAGGGGGGGGTGTTGGGGGTCCCAGGGTGAGTTTTGGGGTCCTCCCCCCCCACCCCAACTCGATCAGGATCCAATAACTCGATCAGGATCCGATAACTCGATCGATTGATGCTGAAAGGGGGTTTATTGGGGATGGGGAGGGGGGTCTTTATTTGGGGGTGGGGTTGCCATGGTGGTGGTGGAGCTGATGGAGGTGATGGAGGTGGGATGAAGATGATGAAGATGATGATGATGATGAAGATGATGAAAATGCCCGGGGGCTCCAGGGGACGGATCCGCCTGCAGGAGATGTTTTGGGGGAGTGAGGGCGATCCCCCGGGTGGGAGGAGGGATTCCCCGGGTTTGGGGTTGTGTCCCCTCCCCAGCTTTGGGGGGGCAGAGGGGGTTTTGGGGGTGGGGGTCTCACCCCTCAGGCCGCCGCCCCCTCGAACTTCTTCTTGCGGCCCTCCATGCCGCTCAGGGCGTCCACGTTCTTGCGCCAGTCCCCGACCTCGCGGTTCTCCTGCCCCGCCCCACGCCCCCCTCCCCGCGTCAGGACACGCCCACGGGGGCGGGGACACCCCGGGGGACACGCCCAGATCTCCAGGTGTGACCCCAATGATCCCCCAGGTGTGACCCCAGGTGTGACCCCCAAGGTGTGTCCCCAAGGTGTGACCCCAATGATCCCCAAGGTGTGACCCCAGGTGTGACCCCAGGTGTGACCCCAGGTGTGACCCCAAGGTATGACCCCAATGCCCCCCCAGGTGTGACCCCAGGTGTGACCTCAAGTTGTGACCCCAATGCCCCCCCAGGTGTGTCCCCAAGGTGTGACCCCAGGTGTGACCCCAGTGATCCCCCAGGTGTGACCCCAGGTGTGACCCCAGGTGTGACCCCAGGGTATGACTCCAGTGCCCCCCAAGGTGTGACCCCAAGGTGTGACCCCAGTGATCCCCCAGGGTGTGACCCCAAGGTGTGACCCCCTGTGTGTCCCCCACACCCCCAGGTGCCCCCCAGGAGCCCCCAGGAGCCCCCCAGGGCAGGACCCACCTCTCGGCCTCATCCTTGCCTACCCCTGTGTGTCCCCCCACACCCCCACACCCCCAGGTGCCCCCCAGGTGCCCCCAGGTGCCCCCCAGGAGCCCCAGGGCAGGACCCACCTTCTCGGCCTCGTCCTTGCGCACCCCCTGTGTGTCCCCCACACCCCCAGGTGTCCCCCAGGTGCCCCCGGGCAGGACCCACCTTCTCGGCCTCGTCCTTACGCACCCCTGTGTGTCCCCTCACAGCCCCAGGTGCCCCAGGAGCGCCCCAGGTGCCCCCGAGGCAGGACCCACCTTCTCGGCCTAGTCCTTGCGCACCCCTGTGTGTCCCCACACCCCCACACCCCCAGGTGCTCCCCAGGTGCCCCCGGGCAGGACCCACCTTCTCGGCCTCGTCCTGCGCACCTGGCGCAGCCCGGCCCTCAGGTCGGTGCCCACGCGGTGCTTGGAGCCCAGCAGCAGGCCGTCATCATCGCGGTCCGCCGAGAAGCCGCACCCGCCGCAGGTTGGGCCGCACGAACCGGCCCATGCCACGCGGCGCCTCAGCTCCTCCATCTAGGGGATACGGGTGTGGGGACCCCCATGAGAGCCCCCAACACCCCTGAGAGCCCCCTAACACCCCCTGAGACCCCCTGACATCCCCACCCACCCGGCGCTTCAGCTCCTCCCATCTGGGGAGTGGGGGTCAGGGGACCCCCATGAGACCCCCGACACCCCTGAGAGCCCCCAACACCCCTGAGACCCCTGACATCCCCACCCACCCGGCGCTCAGCTCCTCCATCTGAGGGGTGTGGGGTGTGGGACCCCTCCTGAGACCCCTGAGACCCCCACACACCCCTGAGACCCCTGAGACCCCCTGAGACCCCCATACACACCCCCTGACATCCCCACCCACGCGGCGCTCCAGCTCCTCCATCTGGGGGTGTGGGTGTGAGACCCCTCCTGAGACCCCCTGAGACCCCCACACACCCCCCGAGACCCCTGAGACCCCCTGAGACCCCCCATACACACCCCTGACATCCCCACCCACGCGGCGCTTCAGCTCCTCCATCTGGGGGGACTAGGATGTGGGACCCCTGGCACCCCCACACCCTTGACACCCCTGAGACCCCTGAGACCCCCGAGACCCCCTGACACCCCACGGCCACGCGGCGCCTCAGCTCCTCCATCTGGGGGATGGGGTGTGGGACCCCATGAGAGCCCCTGAGACCCCACACACCCCTGACACCCCAACACCCCCCCACACCCCCTGAGACTCCCTGACATCCCCTACCCACCCGGCGTTTCAGCTCCTCCATCTGGGGGTGTGGTGGGAACCCCATGAGACCCCTGAGACCCCCTGAGACCCCTGACACCCTCACGGCCACCCGGCGCCTCAGCTCCTCCATCTGGGAGAGGGGTGTGAGACCCCCGAGACCCCTGAGAGCCCCCACACACCCCCTGAGACCCCCACCCACCCCCTGAGACCCCCTGACATTCCCACCCACCCGGCGCTTCAGCTCCTCCATCTGGGGGATGGGGTGTGAGAACTCCCGAGACCCCTGAGACCCCCTGACACCCCCACGGCCACGCGGCGCTTCAGTGGGGAGGGGGCAGAGGGGCCGCCCCCACCTCGGTGACGTTCTTGCTGACGCGGGTGCCCATGTCATAGCGCTCCTCGTCCACGCGGCCCACGCGGGCGTGGAGCTCCCGGCACAGCTCCTGGGGGTATGGCTGGGACCCCCAAACCCACCCTGTCCTTCCCAGAGATCCCCCAAACCCACCTTGTGCCCCCCAGAGATCCCCTGGGATCCCCCAAACCCACCTTGTCCCCCCAGAGATCCCCTGGGATCCCCCAAAGCCACCTTGTAGCCCCTAGAGATCCCCAGAGATCCCTGGGATCCCCCAAACCCACCCTGTCCCCCCAGAGATCCCTGGGATCCCCCAAACCCACCTTGTCCCCCCAGAGATCCCCTGGGATCCCCCCAACCCACCTTGTCCCCCCCAGAGATCCCCCAAACCCACCTTGTCCCCCCAGAGACCCCTGGGATCCCCCCAAACCCACCTTGTCCCCCCAGAGATCCCCTGGGATCCCCCAAACCCACCTTGTCCCCCCCAAACCCACCTTGTCCCCCCAGAGATCCCCTGGGATCCCCAAACCCACCTTGTCCCCCCAAACCCACCTTGTCCCCCCAGAGATCCCCCAAACCCACCTTGTCCCCCCAGATCCCCCCTGGCCCTACAGACCCCTCCCCAGAGACCCCCCTGTCCCTCTAACCCTGCCCTGACCCCCCCCACCCCGTGTCCCCCCTCCCAAAGCCTCCTAAATTCCTCACGCCTCACTCTTGAGAACCATCCAACCCTTTTCCCCACCCAGCGCCCCCAGCCCTCAGTGACCCCCCAGCCCCCTTTTTCCCCCAGCCCCCCGTCTTCCCCCCAGCCCCTCGTTTCCCCCCAGCCCCTCGGTGACCCCCTAAGCCCCCCTTTCCCCCCAGCCCCCCTGTTTTCCCCCCAGCCTCTGTTTTGCCCCCTAGCCCCGGGGACCCCCCAGACCTGCAGTTCCGCTCGCCCCAGCCCTCGAGGGCGAGGGGGGCAGAGCTCCCCAGCACCCGCAGCTTCTCGGCCGCCCGCTCCTGCTCCTCCCGCCTCCAGCTCCCGCTCGCCCCTGCAGCAGCAGCGTCTGGAGGGGAGGGGGCTTCAAAATGAGGGGGATCCCCAACACTCAGGGACACCCCCAAAATAGAGGGGACTGCCCTCCCCCTCCTCACCTTCAGCTGCAGCTTCCACTGACGCCGAGATTTTGGATTTCCTGAGAGGGGGGAATTGGGGGTCAGTGAGGGGTTGGGGGTCTGAGCTCTCAGTGTCCCCTCCCGAGCCCACTCTTGGCGTGGGGCTCCACGGCGAGGCCCGTAATTGGCCGAGGATTTGTGGCGCAGGGGGCGGCTGCGGGGCGTGGACCCCTCCCCTTCCTCTTCCTCTTCCTCCTGGGTCTCTGCGCCACGGCGAGGGGGTGGGGTGGGGTCAGAGGGTCAGGGTCACCCCAAATGGGTGGGAGGGGTGGGGTGACCTACTGACACGTCCCTCCCTGTGGGGGTTAAAAACAGAGTCAGAGCCCCCTGAATCCCCAGCAGGACATCCCCCAGAACCTCCCTGGGTCGCCAGCTCCTCTCTAGGGGGTCCCAACAGCCGGGGACCCCCAAAACTCCCCCTTATAGATCCTCCCACCCACCCCAAGCCCCCCACTCACTCCTCGGCCATCCCGGTGCTGCCGTTCCCGGTGCTGGAAGACACGAGTGGGGCGGGGGAGCACGGGGAGGGGTCTGGGGAGAAGATCAGCCCTCCCCCAAAAACCCGGCGCTGCCCCTATTTGGGGCCGAGCGGCCTGGGCTGATAAGGGGTGCTAAAATAGCCTCTTTATCAACCTCCCACCCCCACGGGACCGTCCGGGCAGCCCTGACACCCCCACCCCCTCCCCCCACGCCAAGGGCACCCAGGACACCCAGAGACCCCCACCCTGTTCTCCCCCCATCCCAAAGACCCCCATCCCACCCTCAAACCCTCCGGGGGCCCAGCTGGTCGGGACCCTCTCTGCTGCCCCGCAGACCTCCCTCTCCCCTTGACCCCCTAAGGAACTCAGGGACTCCCCTCAACCGGGACCCCCATTGGGACCTCCCCTGAGACCTCCATTGGGACCTCCCTCTCGCGACCTCCCATTGGGACCCCCACTTTGTTCTCCCCCACCCCCGCACCAGGATCCTCTTGTGCCCTCTGACCCCAAGTCCCCTCCGGCGTCCGTTCAGTGACGACCCTCAGACCCAGACCCCGACCCCACCTCCACCCCGCCAGGACCTCAAAACCCCTGGTACCTGCGGGCCGGAGCCGGGGGTCGCGCCGGAGTTTATGAATGGGAGGGGGCGTGGCCGGAGGGGGCGTGGCTGAAGGGGCGTGGCTGGAGGGGCGGGTTTGGGGTCCTGGGAGGGGGTTTGGGTTTGGGGTCTGGTATCGAATCGGGGGATCGGAGGGGGCGGTGATTTGGGGGAGGGGGGTCTCAGGGCTGGGGTGGGGATTTGGGGGAGGGAGGGCGGGATGGGGGTGTCTCAGGGGGTCTCCGAATCGGGCGTGGGCCAGGGGCTCCCGGGCCCCCAGGGCTCGAAGCCCCCGCCTGGGCCAGCGCGACCACCCGCTCCCGGAACGCCTCGAGCTGGGGGCCGCAGGGTGGGCACGAACCTGGGGGGAAGGGGACAGAGGTCACGGCCCTGGTGGGGAGGGGGTCGGGGGCCACGGGGCGTCCCTGGGCAGGGTGGGGTCCCTGGGGTCCCGGCACTCACGTGGGCAGCTCCACCAGCAGAGTGGCCCCAGGGGCCGCCAGTTGGGCCAGCTCGGGGTCAGCTCGGGCAACGACCTGGGGGAGAAGGTGTGGAGGGGCGCCTGAGGGTCCCTGGCATCTGGGACCACCTCTCAGAGCCCCCAGACCCATTTATATTGTCCCACTTCCTTTGGGAGGGCCTCGAGACCTCCCCTGACCCCCACCAGGATCCCTTCATATCCCTCCTCTTCCCCCAGGATTCCCACGAGACCCCCAACAGAGGCCCCCAGACCCATTTTATATCCTCCCCACCTCCTCTCGGGACCACCCTTCAGGGTGTCCCCCAGACCCATTTAAATCAACATTTAAATCCCCCAGGGACCACTCCTCGGGACCCTCACCTCTCCATCCCAGCACCAGCAGCCGGCAGAGCCCCCAGCCGGGCTCGGCCGGGGCTTCGGCGCTTCCCAAGGGCAGGAACCGACCTGGAGCGGGAGCGGCGCTGGGGACTCCTGCGTGGGGATTGGGGAGGGGCGTCAGGGGTCGAGGGGGCTCAGAAACCCGGGGGTCGGGGGAGATCTTGGAGGTCAGAGGGGAGGGGGGCACTCACCCAGCGGGCCTGATTCGTCGCAGGGGGTCCTGTCGATGAGGGGCTCTCTGGGGTCCTGGGTCCTCGGGGCCTCGGCGGGGTCGCTGGGGTCCTGTGAGCAGCTCATGCAGCAGCGCCGTGACGTTGGCCACGGAGATCTCGGTGGCTGTCTGGGGAAAGGGGCGGGAGAATCCCGTGAGAGACCACCCAGGACACCTCACACTCCCCCACGCCCCCCCTCACCTTCCCGGGGCTCTGCAGGTGCCGGGGTCGAGCCCTAAGCTGAGGAAGGGGCCGGTCACGATGTCCCCCCAATACCTGGGGTCCAGCCCCACCTGCCCGTCCTGGGGTCGGGATGGTGGTGGGGGGTGGTCAGTGACCTCTGACTCCTCCCCAGCCTCCCTGCCTCTAACACTCACGGCAGCGGGGCCGGGGTCGCTCTGCAGGGTGGGGCTGGGGTCTCTGCCCCCCTGCCGAAGGCGTCGCCGCCTCGCGCCAGAGCCCGGAACTCCGCTGGTGACACCGTGGTGGCCTTGGGGACGGAACGGGGGACAGCGGGAGTCAAACCTCCCTGGGACCCCGGACCCCTGCACGCACCTCCCACCTCCCCACCCGGATCTCCTGCCGTCCCCCTGTACCGCCTCTCCGTTATCCGCCGGACATCCCCTTCCCCCCCGGTCCTTCCTCAGCACTCACCGGGGTGCAGCCCCGGTACCCCCTGGTACCCCCCCGGTGCCCGCCGCTATCTCCCGCACTCCCTGCTACCCCCGGGATGCAGCCCCCGGTAACCCCCGCTATCTCCCGGTACCCCTGCTATCTCCCTGGTACCCCCCTGCTACCCCCTGGGCATGCAGCCCCCGGTACCCCCTGGTGACTCCCTCGTGCCCGCCAGTCACTCCTGGGGTGCAGCCCCTGGTACCCCCTGTTATCTCCCGGGGTGCAGCCTCCCGGTACTCCCCCTTATCTCCCCGGTACCCTCGTTATCTCCCGGTACCCCCCCGGAGCTGCAGCCCCCGGTACTCCCTCTGTTATCTCCCGGTACCACCTGGTACCCCTCGGTGCCTGCCGCTACCCCCCCGGGATGCAGCCCCCGGTACCCCCGCCATCTCCCGGTACCCGCTGTAGCTAGCACCTCGGGGTGCAGCCCCCCGGTACCTCCCCTGTTATCTCCTGGTACCCCCC